TCTTGCCCCTCCAGAGTCTCTACTCTCTGGAATCCTTTACCTACAAGTTGTGTGCGAACTAGGGTAGCCCACTTCTGTTTGGGCCATCCTTGCTCCAAAGCAGTCTTCTCAAAAAAAGAAAAATATCTATCTGGGTCACTCTCTGTAAACTTAGGGACAAAATTTGCAGCTTTAGTTATGTTAAAGTACTGCTCAGGCTCTTGTTCTGAACCTCCTAACCTTTGACGTTCTTTCTCCTTAGCTTTCATTAATTTCATTTCAGCCTCTAGTACAGCTAATTTCAGTCTCATTCTCTCCATTTCCATATCACCTGGAGTAGGTGATTCCTCATCTTCACTATTAACAGGCATGTTTACTGATGAATTATTACCCTCTTCCCTGAAGCCTAAAAATCTGAAGACTCATCTTCTGACATAGTTTTATCTTTAAACACTTGCTTCCCTCTTACAGTATCAGTGGACAAAGTTTTCCCACAGGCACATAAAATAACACAAATTGAATGTAAACTATGCACATAGCACTTACCATAACCACAAAAATGTGTTACTCCCTTTCCCCCCACCTTAGGAGAAAAACAACCTGTAAACTAATATATGAAAACAACACTTCCACTGACCCACCTTGGTAAATCTTCTACCAGAAACATGCAACTGTTATTACCCCATACCAGCACATATAGCACAAGAATGTTTTGAGTTATTTTAGCAGTCAAATAACTCTCCCGGTCAAGCTCCCATGTTACGTTGGTTTCCCTTATTTCTTGGATGGTAAGGTTCTCACTACATGTTCTAGTGTGGGGTAGTTTTTACTTAATGGCCTTATTTGTCTAGGGGTAATACTTACATCATGGCTGATCATCTTGAGTGTCTCTGATACCTCCAACCCCAAGGACTTTCCCAATGCCACAATGGATTCCTCAACTGGCATAATCCTCTCAGGGTTAGCCTCAAACCCTTCAAAATCCCTTTTGTCTACACATTCTGGCCACAGTTTCTTCCAAGCAGAGTTCAAGGTCTTCTTAGTCACTCCCTCCCAAGCCTTACCTATAAGGTTTACACAATTGAGGATATTAAAGTGCTCTCTCCAAAACTCTCTTAGAGTCAGTTGAGTTTCTGAGGTCACTACAAAGCACCTTTCAAACAGAGCTTTTGTGTACAGTTTTTTGAAGTTTGCAATAACCTGCTGGTCCATGGGCTGCAGGAGAGGAGTGGTATTAGGAGGCAAAAACTTCACCTTAATGAATTTCATGTCCCCATAAAGTCGCTCTGCCACGTCTGTAGGATGACCAGGGGCATTGTCTAACACCAGGAGGCACTTAAGTTCTAATTTCTTTTCAGTTAGGTAATCTTTCACATTGGGGGCAAATGCATGGTGTAACCAGTCATAGAAAAAGTCCCTAGTGACCCATGCCTTACTGTTTGCCCTCCACAGCACACACAAATTCTCCTTGAGGACATTCTTTTGCCTGAACGCTCTGGGAGTTTCAGAGTGATACACTAATAAAGGCTTAACTTTGCAATCACCAGTAGCATTGGAACACATCAACAAAGTAAGCCTGTCTTTCATAGGCTTATGTCCTGGGAGTGCCTTTTCCTCCTGAGTAATGTAGGTCCTGCTTGGCATTTTCTTCCAAAACAGGCCTGTTTCATCACAATTAAACACTTGTTCAGGTTTCAGTCCTTCAGTCTCTATGTACTCCTTGAATTCATGCACATATTTTTCAGCCGCTTTGTGGTCCGAACTGGCAGCCTCACCATGCCTTATCACACTATGTATGCCACTACACTTCTTAAATCTCTCAAACCAACCTTTGCTGGCCTTAAATTCGCTCACATCAGCACTAGTTGCAGGCATTTTTTTAATTAAATCCTCATGCAACTTCCTAGCCTTTTCGCTTATGATCGCTTGAGAGACGCTATCTCCTGCTAGCTGTTTTTCATTTATCCACACCAATAAGAGTCTCTCAACATCTTCCATCACTTGCGATCTTTGTTTCGAAAACACAGTTAAACCTTTGGCAAGAACAGCTTCCTTGATTGCCTTTCTGGTGCCCACAATAGTAGCGATGGTTGATTTGGGTTTCTTGTACAACCTGACCAGGTCGGCGATACGCACTCCACTTTCATACTTATCAGTGATCTCTTTCTTCATCTCTATTGGAATTCTCACCCTTATTGCTGTAGGGTTGGCACTAGAAGCTTTCTTGGGGCCCATGGTCACTTATTTTCCAGAAAAAGCACCGAAAACACTGTAATAATACGAAATATTCCGATTGTATGCTTGGATGTTACCGCGGAGGCTGGCTGGTAAACAATGCCACCGGCGGCACATGTGAGGCTGGCTGAGGGCGCACATTGGATGCGTCTTGGACGAAAATCGGTGAGCGGGTTTTTAAGCGGTATGCGAGGCAAAATTTTTGCGATTAAAACAAGCGGTATGCGGATTAATCGTTATGTGATGCCATCGGTATGCGGGGGTCCACTGTATTTCGAGCTCATTTTGCCAATCGATGTTATTCATAGCTGCTATAAAGTTGTTAACTGCTGTCTCATTATGTAGTCTGAAGGTTACTTTAGTAATGTCTTGTGGCAGTTTGCCCAGATTAGTTATGAGAAAGATTGGGTAGTGGTCTATAGTGTTGTCTGTGATTATGCCTGATTTTAAAGGGGATATGGTGTTTGCCCAGATGTGGTCTATTAAGGAGATGCTTGTCTCGGACATTCTTGTAGGTTTAGATATTGCTGGTAGCAACAGGCAGTTACTCATTGTGTTTGTGAATGCGGTTCAGTATAATTAGGTATTCCAAAGTGAGTAACTGTTACTGAGATACATAATACTTGTTGGGTCCTATAGCCCCATAACACCAGTATACTTACAATTTAGCCTTGATAATGCTGAGGACATGAGAACACTGCATGTAGAGGCAGAACATTAGTAGAGTACTGCAGTAGGCTTACTGCCCCATGCTAGACAGGTTCAACTCATATACTCAACCAGGCCCGGTGGCCTGGTGGCTAAAGCTCCCGCTTCACACATGGAGGGCCCGGGTTCGATTCCTGGCGGGTGGGAACATTTCGACACGTTTCCTTACACCTGTTGTCCTGTTCACCTAGCAGCAAATAGGTACCTGGGTGTTAGTCGACTGGTGTGGGTCGCATCCTGGGGGACAAGATTAAGGACCCCAATGGAAATAAGTTAGACAGTCCTCGATGACGCACTGACTTTCTTGGGTTATCCTGGGTGGCTAACCCTCCGGGGTTAAAAATCCGAACGAAATCTTATCTTATCTTATCTTATGTACTTGTCCAAACTATATTTATAGCTACGCAAAGTTTAGCAATAGTTTTAGATTTACTCCCAGCTGTGAGCCCTCAGAACACCTCCCTTTCCCTATCTTATGTCAGGATTTCATCAAAAACTTGATTGTTTGAGAGATAGTATTACTGCTCTTCATGGCCGAGAGCAACTTATTGATGGTAATATGTGATACTGTTAGTTTTCTTCTCATTTATAATTATTAATCTTAGACTTATTCTCATTTATAATTAATATTAGGTTTCTTTTCATTTTTATAGTTTAAGTAAATCTTTTATATTACTCCATGAATGTTACAGAAATGTGCATATTAATTGGGACACTGATGAAATAAGATATTTATTTGGAAAATTATATGTTTATTTGAAAAATACCCTTTGGCTTTATAAGCATTGCTACATGCTTTGACATAGAATCAACCATTATCAAACACATTTTGGCAAGTTCTTCATTGAGATACCAAGCCCTAATAACAGCAGCATTTAGGTTCTCTACAGTTAAACAGTCCTGTTTTGCTATCCTGCATTTGGTTATTGCCCATAGATTCTCAATTAGTTGGAGGTCAGGAGAGTTTCCAGGCCAATTTAGAATGCTTAGCCCACTCTCTTCGAAGAATATCAGCATTTTTCTTTAAGTGTAGCGTGGATCAAGATCCTGCTAGAAAATGCCTTCTCCATCAGGAAAGTCTCTATCCACAGTGGGAAACAAATGAGTTGCCAGGATTGAATTGTATTTGTCACTGTTCATCATTCCCTCAATAATAACAAGCAATTCTGGGCATTTAGCAGTAAAACTACCCCAAAATGTCCCAGTTGAGTGTTTTGGCACTTGTTGAATGCATCCATTCTGAAGAGGTTCACCTTTGCTCAATCTCACTTCCACTTGTACTTCAAAATGCGCCTCATCTGAAAATATGACTTTTCTCCATTCATCTATCGTCCATCTCTCATGATCGAATACCCACTGCAGTTGTTTTTTATCATAGTAGCAGTCAATAATTTTTTCTTTACCAGCTTTCTGGCAGCTCTGCCAACTTCAAGGAATTGAATCTCTCTGTAGATCTTTAATCGTTTTCTTAGGTGTTGTCTTGCATTGCCTTCAACATCTTGCTTGACACAGCAGTCCACAGTCACTGATGTCATCATCTCTCTTCAGAATCCAACTAGGATCAAGTTTTCAGCGATCTGTCTGATAATCAAATCAGCATGTTTTCTAAGAGCTACAATACTTACATGCTTCCTGGGTGTTACATCCATCATGAATTTCAGCAATAATCGTAAAATGAAGGGGAGAATTTGAGGAAACCACATTCACTCCTGGAGCACGCTTGCAAGAAGAGTCTTACAGAACAACAGCTGTTGTACCACTGACAAGAGTAGCAGGATAACATCACAGCTGGATGGTTGCCAGAAGCCTGCAGCAAATTCCTACATTAAGCCATAGACTAAGACATATTATGAGATAATCACAAAAATTTAATCTTGTCCTAATTAATTTGCACACTAGTATATAAAGTTTTTATAAATGTTTTCATCTTTTGTTTATGTTGTTTATGTTTATATTCTTGACGTGTAATCACACAGAAGGGCATGATCCTATTATTCTTCAGAATTTTTTTGTTATTTATGCAGTTTTTCAATGTTTGTAAATGTTATTTTTTTGGATAATGTTTGTTGGTTGATTAGGTGTGCTGCAGGAGGTGCATGGGCAGACCTAGTGAAGCATTGCCAGGAACATCCTGCTGTCCAAGGACTGACTCTTACAGCCTTTCTTCTGAAGCCCATGCAGAGAATAACCAGATACCCTTTATTAATAAAACAGGTATGAATGAAGCAACAGTGCATTACACTGCTTCACACTAATAATAATAAAGTTTTAAAATTAATTACTATTTGCATTTATTTGGTCATATTTAAATAATTCCTAGGTAGTAGTATGGTATATGACAACCACCCAGGGAGGTACTGCCATCCGGCCAAGTGAGTGTAAAACATGGTGGTAGGCTTGCTGGTGTCTTTTTTCTGTCTCATAAACAAGCAAGATTTCAGGTACATCTTGCTGCTTCTACTTACACTTAGGTCACACTACACGTACATGACAAGTGTATATATATACACACCCCTCTGGGTGTTCTATTTTCTTACTAGTTCTTGTTCTTGTTTACTTCCTCTTATCTCCAAAGGAAAGTGGAAATGAATTCTTCCTCCATAAGCCATGCATGTAGCAACATGCATCTAAAATAATGGGAGCAAGGGACTAGTAACCCTTTCTCCTGTATACAGTACTAAAGTTAAAAAGAAAAACTTTCATTTTTCTTTTTTAGGCCACCCTGCCTCAGTGGGATGTGGCCAATTTGTTGAAATTTTTTTTTAGATAATTTGATTAAAGTTATATTAGCTTATTTAATCCCTTGAGGGTCCATGCCATAGTTCTATGGCTTTGAAGCCAGGGTCAGTGCCATAGTACTACGTCATGAGCTCAGATCACTCAGATAAGCTGTGAGTGGTAAATTTGGGCTTAGATGTGAAAGAATGAGTCTTTGTGGTAAGCGTGCACCATATAAAAAAAATCCTGCAGCACACAGTTCATAATTAGAAAAAAAAGCTGTAACCATGTTTATGGATTAAAACATTGACTTTGCATTGTATTTTCATATGGTTTTTATGGTTGTGTTTGCAGTTTTAGTCTCATATGATAGAATGGAAGGCACATTACAGAAATAGAGATGATTTTGATTGAGCTCGTAGCAAAAATGTTCAATTTTTGCTGATGTTCAAGAGTAAACAAATCACATCATGCATCCAATACACATCAGCTGGTGGGTCTAATATGTCTTCACAAAGGTACTGATATTATTAACCCCTTCAGGGTCCAAGGCCAAAATCTGAAGTGGTGCTCCAGTGTCCAAGAAATTTTGAAAAAAAAAAATTATTTTTTTTACAGAATTAGAGTATATTTTTGTGAAGGTAATAAGAATTTTTTTTTTTTCTGATCAGTACTTACCGAGATACAGCGGCGGGAAGTTGACCCAAAATGACCGGGTGGCGGCAACGTCAGTGACTTCCGCAAAATCCCATTTTTTATTTTACGTATTTTATACTTTTTTATTTTCTTTTCAATTTTTTTCTTTTTCTAATAACATTTTTGCCTGTGAGACCAATATAATGTATATTGTATAAGTGTACACTCATTGTATTCAACACAATAACTGCACTAATTTGTTTATCATTATATTGCTTACAAAACTTGTTTACAAGTTTATTGTAAACAAAATGATGAAAATATTAGTGCGGTTGTCTTGAATACAACGGTACCATATAGTACCGTATGGTACAATGGTGCCATAGGGTGCAATTGTACCATATGGTACAATGGCACATGATACAATGGTACCATATAATACAATGGTACCATATGGTACAATGGCACCATTTGGTACCATATGATACAATGGTACCATATGGTGCAATGGTACCTTATGGTACCATATGGTGTAATGGTACCATATGGTACCATATGATGCAATGGTACCATATGGTACATTGTACCATACAGTACAATGATACCATATGGTTCATTGTACCATATGGTACTGTTGTATTCAACACAATAAACACACTAATATTTTCATTATTATTTTGTTTACAATAGATGTTTACAACAAAAATATGCAAAAAATGTTGTATATTATTAATGTTCTATTATACATTTACAAGTGTACAGGAACTTGATGTGTTCCTTGAGGTGGATGACAAAGCACTTTGTCTCAGAAACTGCAGAGTCAGTAGCTAGCTTGCATCGCCACTCACTCAGTCTTGGCTGGTGTTTCATGCCACCAACACCTATTGACCATATTGTACACGGTATCATATGTTACAGGGTACCATATGGTACATTGTACTATATGGTATAGGGTACCATGCAGTACAGGATAACACATGGTACAGGGTACCATATGGTACAGGGTACCATATGGTACATGGTACCATATGGTACATGGTACCATATGGTACAGGGTACCATATGGTACAGGGTACCATATGGTACAGGGTACCATATGGTACAGGGTACCATATGGCACAGGGTACCATATGGTACAGGGTACCATATGGTACAGGGTACCATATGGTACAGGGTACCATACAGTACAGGACACCATATGGTACAGATACAGGGATAACTATGGAAATAAATCACCCTGTCTTTTTTGGGTTATCCTAGGATTTTCTATATATGCTGCTATGTATGATAATCTATGTAATTGTATTTCTGTATACCTGAATAAACTTACTCAAGTGCATGCGGCATCATAAGTAAGTTTATTTAATTATACACAAATAAAGTTACATAGAATATCATACTTAGCAGCATATGTTTGGAGAACCTAGGATAACCCAAAAAAGTCAGACAGACTTATTTCCATTAGGGTCCCTGTACCATATGGTGCAATGTATCATATGGTACAATGTACTATATGGTATAATGTACTATATGGTACATTGTACCATATGATACCATTGTACCATATGATACCATTGTATGACATGGCACCACTATACCATGTGGTACCATTGTATCATATGGCACAATGGTACTATATGGTTCAAAACCATAGAATTCGTCTTCAGCTCCACTTCCATCAGTCTTAGAACTGTAAGTTGTAAAGAGGAGTCAGAATTCGCCCAGAGAGTGAGTGGGGAGTGAGAGCTTCCTTGCTGCCAGTCACGATGAACAAAGCTACTTTGCCAGCATTCCCACAATGCCATACGGGCGTCCAGATTTTTTCCATGGTGTGCACACTGACCACCCAGACCCATTCTCTCAGATGTAGGCCTACCAGCCTTCTCGCGCTAAATTTGATGCCGCTAGAATTTTGGCGTATATCTATGGTTTGGACCCTGAACGTAAAGCCCTAGATCGATGGGACGGACCCTGAAAGGGTTAATTCAATTACAGTGGACCCCCCGGATAACATAATTAATCCATTCCAGAGAGAGTGTCTTATACCGAATCTGACTTAATCCGAATTAATTTTCACTTAAAATATAATGGAAATCCAATTAATCCGTTCCAGACACCCGAAAGTATTGAATAAAATAATTTTTTACGTGGAATATACATTTCTCTACACAGAAAACAGTGAGACATGTAGAGTAAAACATTACTAAAATGACATTAATCTTTATTGAAGACTTATTGATTAGTGATAAGACTGTAATAAAGTTGGTAGAATTACCAACAATATGTAAAGTAAGAGGACACAAGTGCAACTATGTGACATTTTTAGTGTGGCAACGTTTCGCTCTCCAGGAGCTCTGTCAAGTCGTTACAAACAGTACATGGACACAGAAGGCACAAATAGGCTCACAGTGAGGTGCAATACTAGTGGTAGTAGTAGCAGTAGTGATTTAAGTTGTAGTAGTAGTAGTAATACAATATGTTAGAATGGGAATGGGGTCCCTCAATAGTGCCGTCTTAGCCAACTTGTACATGGAACACCTAGAGTCCGAACACTTCACCAACATCATCCCTTCAAGCGTCTCTTGGTTATGTTATGTGGACGACGTCCTCATAATAACTCCCAAAAGTTTTGATGTACGGAATTGTCAGGCAAGGCTCAACACAGTTGAACCGACGATCCAGTTTACACTAGAAGAAGAGTCCAATGACAAGCTACCTTTCCTAGATGTCCTCATTCACAAAGTAGAGAACAATGTAAAATTTCAAGTTTATCAGAAACCTACTAATAAAAATGATCTCACACACTTCTATTCTAGTCAGGATACTAGGATCAAAAGAGGCATCATCATCGGATTTTTCCTGAGAGCATGCCGAATTTGTAGTCCTGAGTTTCTTGACGAGGAATGTACATACATTCACCAAACCTTCACTGATTTACATTTTTCTTCCTTTTTCACCAAAGATTGCAAGAAAAGAGCTCTTCAGATCATAAATTCTCCACACACCAACACCACTCTTAACAAAGTTATAATTCTTCCCAACAGCCAGGTTGCACTGAATGTTTCTAAAGTACTTTCACAAGCTAACACCAGAGTTGCCATCGCTTCCAGCACTTCAATAAAGGATCTAACCAGAACAAAATCCTAGCACCACGAACCAGTCAATGCAGGGGTTTACACTATACCCTGTGGAGGCTGCGACAAGATTTATGTAGGTGAAACAGCAAGAAACCTTGACACCCGCCTCAATGAACACGTTGACGCATGTCGGAACGATAACTTGAACAACACCTGTGTACAACACCGAAATTCCACCAGTCATCTCATGAAATTCAGGGACGCCCAGTTAGTGATCAAAGAAACCAATTTCCGCAGACGCAAGTGCCTTGAATCTTCACTAATAGCTGTTTCTGATACAATTAAACAAAACAAAGGCAGCTTCACCATCTCTGAAGTCCTAGCAAGAATCCTGAAAAACAGTAAACCCTGCCATCACATAGTCTCTCCTGTTAATACTACACAAGCACATTACAGAGAATGAACATTGAAACAGGCCTTCTCTAGCCTAGAAATATTTGTCTAACCTATTTTTATGTTACCCAAGTTATAGCTTTTATATCCTTTTACTCATGTGCGAGTTAATTGTTCTAACATAATGTATTACTACTACTACTACTACTATAACTTATATCACTACTACTACTACCACTAGTATTGCACCTCACTCTGAGTCTATATATACCCTCTGTGTCCATGTACTGTTTGTAACAGCTTGACAAAGCTCCTGAAGAGCAAAACGTTACCACAATAAAAATGTCATATTAGTTGCACTTGTGTCCTTTTACTTTACACAGTGATGAG